TGTATTGACACAACATGAGCGGTTCAGCATTCAAAGTCAGCATAGAAACTTCAATAAGGATGTTAGATGCTATGGTGTATTGACACAACATGAGCGGTTCAGCATTCAAAGTCAGCATAGAAACTTCAATAAGGATGTTAGATGTTATGGTGTATTGACACAACATGAGCGGTTCAGCATTCAAAGTCAGCATAGAAACTTCAATAAGGATGTTAGATGTTATGGTGTATTGACACAACATGAACGATTCAGCATTCAAAGTCAGCATAGAAACTTCAATAAGGATGTTAGATGTTATGGTGTATTGACACAACATGAACGATTCAGCATTCAAAGTCAGCATAGAAACTTCAATAAGGATGTTAGATGTTATGGTGTATTGACACAACATGAAAGATTCAGCATTCAAAGACAGCATGTTGTTTTAAAGTTTGCATTACTGCTTATTCTTCCTTTTCTAATGCTTGACATGTGGACGTACCCGAGAAAGAAACGTATTAAAAAAGAAGATTCTTGACATTTGTCGCTGTAACTTTTCCACAAGGACTTTGACTGTCAACCAGTAAATTTACGAGTAGCCAAGTCTAGTAACATTCATCTAGCTAAGCTGCAGTTCAACCAGTGTATTGATAGTAATGTACACTGGTTTTGACATTCTCTTGGGAAGAGCCGAAAGTAAGGCGAAGAACGATGGAGATTTCCTATAAGATGTGACAAGAGATGCCACTGTTTGGGTTTTGGTGCTCAAGTGGGGATCAGTAAAGTAAGCCCCTCCTGCAGACCTGCACCTACCACTCACCGTCTTTTTTTGACAGGCCATGGCCGAGTTGCGCAGAGTAAATTAGCGCCAGGATTAGTTTTGGTGTGTCATTGCACCAGATGACATTATCTGTCAAGAAAATTCAGGTTGAGCTAATTTAGTTTCGGTGTTTCAGTCGGATAGTATTCCTTTTTACACATCCAAAGTGTGTTATATCTCGTGAACTGTTTCTATCAAACAGTTTGATCGGCTAATAAACTAAGACAGTAATAAATATTTCAAACATTTATGAAAAACGTAACCCAACCTTAATGAAATAGTGTTTACTTGCGCTTCACTTACTACTAGTTAATTAGATACCAAAAATTAACAATTCTACACCTACGTGGTCTGTCACTTCCACTTAAGCAAGGAAAGGTCAGAAATGTGGTTTAAAAATGGTCCTTTATTGGTCTCTTTTCTTTTTCGCACCGACAACATCAATAGGTAAGCGTAAGGCTTAGGTACAAAACCATGTTTATGGCACACAGTTCATCACTATAGAAACAGGATATTGTATAATTATGTGAAAACCATATTATTAATGAATATACTCTTCCACAATTCACCTATATAAGCTCCATATTTATTTTTCATTTCTAGTTTCCATCGTCTAGTTAAACAAGAACATAAAATGTCAATTCCCATCTGAGCGAGCTCTTTATTAAATTTTCATCTTGAGTTTCCATAGACTTGTAAAATGTCAAAAATCAAATTTCTTCTAACTAATCTCTTTAATAAATTTTGGTCTTGAGCTTTCATGGACTTGTTAAAAGACAGGAATACAAAATCAAAATTTTAATTTAATTAAGGTCTTACTAAATTTTCATCTTGAGCTTTCATCGACTTGTAAATCGTCAAAATTCATCTAATTTCATCTTGAGTTGTCATCGAGTTAAAAAATGTAAGAACACACAGAACTCGATTAACTAAGCTTATTATTAATCAATAATAACTAAAAAACAAACTTAAGATTTTCTAGTTTTGAAAATGTTCATTCCTAATATCGTACGCACTTAAAGCTTTAGCTCACACATCTCTCCCTACCGTTATTCTTTTTTGGGGTAGGAATTCGTTCTATAGATTTACCCTGTGAAAAAAATGGTGCGAAAAAGGGGAGATGGGGAGAGATAGGCTGTACTTGTAGAGTGCCAGTTGTTCGGGTAGATTAAGATTAGAAGCTATATGTTACTCGCCACTGTGAGATCTGGTTTACATAGATGGTACTTTGAGGAACTTCGACACTCGCTGGCTGACACTGATAAAATCATACTCCATTTATCACTCTCTCTACATCAGCTGGTTATCCACAACTATATTCCCAAATATTTACTTACTTAGAAGTTTTTCTTCTTCCTTTTATAAAGTTTACCTTTATCTTGGAGGAAACTAAGAGCAAACGTGATCCTCTATTCATCCTCTCGGTATAAAAGCGGAATGAACCCTGGAGGAACAAAACGAAACAACAACAGCGCAATTAGTAACCGACAAAAAGACCTTGAAGTCTTGAAACCTATCTTAGGCCTAACGCAGCTGGATTTCATTAGTCTAACGTTTTACACAAAACCAGGATGACATTTATTGTAATATACAGACGGTTCTGGTGAGATTCACTTTACCTTCACACTTAGTCCGAGGAAAGTTTATTAAAACATAACACAATATTGACAAGATATACATGACTTCAAGGAAAGCAAGATATTGAGTTAAAATTGGATAAAATTATTTAGAATGTATATAGATCTATATGAACATGGTGGAGGTTGGAGGCAATTCAAATGAAACTTTATGGACTTAAAAACCTTTAATCTGTTAATTCAGTCTTTTTAAAGAGAATTGGATAAATCTTTAAAGGTAGTTATTAAAGCATATGTTGTAACGTAAAGCTTTATCGATATCTAATAAAATGTATGTTTTTACATAAAGTTTTAGCATCATTTATTTAAATGTATATTTTAACATAAAGCTTTAAATATATTTATTAGAATTTTTGTTTAACATAAAGCTTTAACAACATTTATTAAAATATTAGGACAAACTTTTCTCACATTCTCTAGATTTAAAGTTTCAGATATTACAGGGATATTTACAGAATATAATAGGTTATCTTTTACAGAAAGAGTTAACAGAAAATCAGATATAAAACGCCATTTATTGTGTGTAACATACAGATAAAGAAGTATATGATTAAAGAAACAGATAGTGTGTAACATACAGATAAAGAAGTGTGTGGTTAAAGAAGCAAATAGTTGTGTAACATACAAATAAAAAGTGTGTGATTAAAGGAACAGACAGTGTGTAACGTATACAAAAGAAAGTGTGTGATTAAAGAAACGGGTAGTGTATAACGTACTGAAAAGGAAGTGTGTGATTAAAGAAACAGGTAGTGTATAACGTATACAAAAGAAAGTGTGTGATTAAAGAGACAGTTAGAGTGTAACATACAGATAAAAAAGTATGTGATTAAAGAAATAGTGTGTAACATACAATAAAGAAGTGTGTGATTAAAGGAACAGATAGTGTGTAACGTATACAAAAGAAAGTGTGTGATTAAAGAGACAGTTAGAGTGTAACATACAGATAAAGAAGTATGAGATTAAAGAAATAGTGTGTAACATACAATAAAGAAGTGTGTGATTAAAGGAACAGATAGTGTATAACGTATACAAAAGAAAGTGTGTGATTAAAGAGACAGTTAGAGTGTAACATACAGATAAAGAAGTATGTGATTAAAGAAATAGTGTGTAACATACAATAAAGAAGTATGTGATTAAAGAAATAGTGTGTAACATACAATAAAGAAGTGTGTGGTTAAAGAAGCAAATAGTTGTGTAACATACAATAAAGAAGTGTGTGATTAAAGGAACAGATAGTGTGTAACGTATACAAAAAAAAATGTGTGTGATTAAAGAAACGGGTAGTATACAACGTAGTGAAAAGGAAGTGTGTGATTAAAGAAACAGGGAGTGTGTAACATACTGAAAAGGAAGTGTGTGATTAAAGAAACAGGTAGTGTATAACATACTGAAAAGGAAGTGTGTGATTAAAGGAACAGATAGTGTGTAACGTATACAAAAGGAAGTGTGTGATTAAAGAAACAGGGAGTGTGTAACATACTGAAAAGGAAGTGTGTGATTAAAGAAACAGGTAGTGTATAACATACTGAAAAGGAAGTGTGTGATTAGGGAAAGAGATAGAAAGAAATGTGATACACACAAAGAGAGAGACCTGAAGGTAATCTATAACACACAGACACTGTGTACTAGTTAAACATAGATAAGGTAAAATAAAACTCAAAGGTAGATAGATAGATTGCCTTCTCCTAGCTTGATTAGATGTTAGAACAAAAGAAACCTTTACCTGTGATGTAACCACATGGGAAAGAAACGCCACGAGCATGTGGATAACCTCTCCTTACCTATCACTGGCTTAAAATATGAGAAAAATCACAACACATGCAGGTGAGTCACTTAGTGCTCGTGGGACGAGCAATATGGATTACCTTTTGTATGTGCCGGAGGAGCGATGAGAATATGGATTATTTCCTCTACGTGCTAGAGATCAGTTGATTAACTCAGTCACTGTTCTATGTCCAGTTTTGGTGTATACATTAAGCTACTGCTATGAAAAACGAAGATAAATTATTTTGTTATTATTAGATTTTAACCCTACAAGTTTAAGCCTAATGAGTTGTAAAAAGAAAAATTATTCCACAAACAAGGGAAAGTAATTAACAAATTTATGAAATTAATAAATAAGTTTTAGATTCTGAATAAAACTAGTTAAAGCAGAAAGTTTTGTTTTAATTAAATATTTAAATTCACAAAATATTCTTCTCATGGGTTGTAAACGAGATTAATTTTTAAGGTAGAACAAGTTAATTTATTAGATCAAAAACACTCTAACCCTAATACACATTTGCTAAAGTAAAGAATAAAAATACATGTGATTGCTATTAGAAAGAGCTTTTTATTATTTTTACTGACTGCACATACACGTTTGCTGCTGCTGTTGTTTTAATGGATAATTAAAGACGTTGAACAGGGAAACCATTTAAGTTGGGGAGAGTAAGCTACCCCTCCCTCTTCTTCATATCATTTGTTTATTTTGGAAAAAAATACATACATATAGATATAGATGTAATGTTTAGATTCTGTATTTTAAGTGACTATTAAATAATATAGGAAAAAATGCTTCCAAGATAGACCGACTTTTTACAGTTGAACCTTTACAAAGTCTACGTTTCATCCCTCTAACGAATAAGATGGCGCTCCTGACTTTGAAGTTTCAAAAAATTTCCTGGAATATCAACAGCTGTTCGTTAATAAAGGTATTTTTTATATTTTATTCATCACAGAATAGAATTATCAAATATTTAATGTAATAAAGTATAGAATTGACATTACGTAATACAATACTCGCGAGGTTGAATTTTACAATTATATTATAATGATCAATAATCCATTAATATCATATATTTTAAATGTAGCTCTTCAGAAGTACTATAGAAATATGCAAAAAACAAAGTACAAATAGAAACAATATTTTATTTGGTATTTAAATTCAATTAATAATTTATTAGGGCTATATGTAAAATTTTCAGCAGCAATTAGAACAATTGCTCTTATGCTACTGCAACCTCACCTTACTATAATGAACTGGATCGACAGATGCTGCTAAAACCTCGCCTTACTATAATGAACTGGATCTACAGATGCTGCTACAACCTCACCTTACTATAATGAACTAGATGGACAGATGCTGCTACAACCTTATCTTACTATAATGAACTGGATGGACAGATACTACTACAACCTTATCTTACTATAATGAACTGGATCCCGCCTTACTATAATGTACTGGACCTACAGATGCTGCTACAACCTCACCTTACTATAATGAACTGGATGGACAGATGCTGCTACAACCTCACCTTACTATAATGTACTGGACCTACAGATGCTGCTACAACCTCGCCTTACTATAATGAACTGGATCGACAGCTGCTGCTACAACCTCACCTTACTATAATGAACTGGATGGACAGATGCTGCTACAACCTCACCTTACTATAATGTACTGGACCTACAGATGCTGCGACAACCTTATCTTACTATAATGAACTGGATCGACAGATGCTGCTACAACCTTATCTTACTATAATGAACTGGATGGACAGATGCTGCTACAACCTTACCTTACTATAATGAACTGGATCGACAGCTGCTGCTACAACCTCACCTTACTATAATGAACTGGATCGACAGATGCTGCTACAACCTTATCTTACTATAATGAACTGGATGGACAGATGCTGCTACAACCTT